AGCTGATGCTCTGTGCTGCTCAGCAAATTCTTCCTTGTTTCCTGCCCAGGAGTCTTGATTCTCTCACCAGAAGCTGATCTAAACCTCCATTCTCCTCACACCTCCATCCACGCACTCCTGGCACAGTATCTTGCCTCCTACCTCACAGAGTAAATAGAAGTCAGCACAGCCACCTGCCTACTGAAGTAATAGCATTTACATATCTGCAATGGAGAGGCCAGTTCTCCGTCCTGTGCTCTAATCTCATCCCATCCTGCCTCCCAGAGGCCCTCTCTTGATTATCCCATATTTCCCATATCTTGGATAGCCCTCTCCCTAATGATTCCTCCCCACCAGGCTTCTATAACTCCCCCTGTCTTATAGTCTGTTCAGGCTGCTATAACCAAGTTCCATAGATGGGGGTGGCTTCAACAACAGACATTCTGGAAGTGTAGGTGGAACCCTCCTGACCTAATTTGGTGGGAAGGCACAAATAGTCTATTGCACCTTCTCCCCATCTTACAAGAGTAAAGAAAGTTGCAGGGACACTTATTTATGGGGTCTTCTGTTCCTCTCCAGATATTGTCGTGTCTCCTTTTTACAATACATCTTAGTGAAAGGGGTGTCTGCTCTATCTCCACTTCCTCATCTTCTGTTCGCTCTTCAAATCACCCTAATCAAGCTTTCCCCATCTTTCCACTAAGACTGTTCTTGCCATTGAAAACAATGTCTTCTCATTGCTAAAGCTAACAGGTACTTTCCAAGTCTTACCTTAGTTCACTTATCGGAAGTATTAAGCATTGTTTACTTCCCCTTTGTAGAAATATTCTCCTCTTTTGACTTTAGTAACAACTCATGCTATTGTTTTCCTCCTCCTTTCTGTAAATTTTAAATTAGATTCTTTATGGGCTGCCTTTTTTGGCCTGATCTTTATATATTGCAGTTTCTGAAAATTTCTCTTCTGGGCCTCACTCTGTTCCCTTCACCATTGTCTCTCCAGTGTCTGATACAGTACTCTTGATATCAGGTACTCAATAAATAATACATACTCACTAAGTATATTCTCAAGACTTCAACTACAGTATCTATGCTGGCAATACCCAAATTTGTATCTCTAGCCCAAACCAGTCTGTAAACTGCTTTCTGACACCTCAAACTCAATATCTAAAAATCCAACCACCACTTCTTTCTACCAAAGATAATCTTTATTTCTGTGTTTTCTGTGTCTTTGAATATCATCACCCACCATATCCTCCCAATTCTAACTCAAACCAGATACTTCAGTGGCACAATCTTGGCTCACTGCCACCTCCACCTCCACCTTCCAGTTTCAAGCAATCCTCCTGCCTCAGCCTCCCAAATAGCTGGGAGTACAGGCATGCACCATCATATCTGGCTAATTTTTGTATTTTTAGTAGAGATGGGGTTTTGCCATGTTGGCCAGGCTGTTCTCAAACTCCTGACCACAAGTGATCTGCCCACCTTGGCCTCCCAAAGTGCTGGGATTACAGGCGTGAACCACCGCACTCAGCCAGGAAAAACTCTTTCACGTGGCCTGTAAGACCCTTCCTGACTTGAACCTTGCCAATCTCTTTAACATCACCTCTCCCCATTCTCCATCGTAAACTGTGTGATCCAACTTCACCAAAAAATATTTTTCTGTATCCTGCCATGCTATTTTGCCTCACCAACTCCTACTTTCATTTTAGTTTTATTCATATGGAGATCAATTTTTTGAGCACCTACTATGCGCCAAATTATAGCTGAAATGTCATTTTAATTTCAAGGCTAGTTTAGATGCCTCTCTTGATGTCCTTCCCAGTGGTACCTATACAATTCTATCAGCACACAAGATGGTAATGGTCTGTGGGTCCCTGACTAGAGAGGGAGCCTGTCTTGTTCCATTTTCTATTCCCAAAGCCTTGCACATGACACATAGAAGGCCCTCAATGTCTGGTGAACAAATGAATGTGATGTTTGTTCCAAG